GAGGTCCGCAGGAGAATCGTTCCTTCCACCCTGGGTCGGGCTCCGGCGCGTGGTGCTCGGTAAAGATGAGGTTGGAGGAAGTCAAGTCGGCGCCCAACGTAGAGGGCGCGTCAGCACACTGGGGCCCGTCCGCCCGCGCCCTCCCCGAAAGTGTTTCGTCAGCGGACTGTTCTGGCAGGATCAGTTTAGTGGGTCATGACTAGCACGTGTGTTTTTAAGTAACCAGCCGTGCGGAGTTGGCACATCCCCTGCTCGCCCCTTTGGTGCACCAAGTTCTAAACCCAGCTCATCGGGAACTTCCCCGTCAATTCATTAGGGCGGAGTTCAGACCACTTTTGTGCGGGGTCAGGTCCCGAGAAGGAAGGGCGGGCTGGCCAGTCCCGGGCACGGGGTCCTCACGGGCAGGCAGGTGGGCGAGCAAGGAGCTAGAAGCCCAGTGGGTTGAACTGGGAACGGGAGAGGCAGTTGTGGAGCGCAGATATTAAAAGAACCACACGCCCTAACCGGTTTGGCTCAGTGGATGGAGCGTCGGCCTGCGGACTCAAGGGCCCCAGGTTCGATTCCGGTCAAGGGCATGTACCTTGGTTGCGGACACAACCCTAGTGGGGAGTGTGCAGGAGGCAGCTGATGTTTCTAATTCTCTCTCCCTCTCTGTAAAAAAAAAATATATATATATATATATTTAAAAATAAAAGAATCACACATGTGGGTATACAAGTACAAGCTCCACGTTAAAAAAGGAACACAGGGACCTACTTTAACCAGGGGAGGGCCGAGCTGTGACAGTTCCACTCGCTAGGAAGGCTGAGAAGGATTCGACCTGCTCAGCTTCCTTGCCTGGAAATGACACCTCTCTCCACCTTCACGGGAGGTGAGGCGGCAGTAAAGTGCCTCTCAGAGCACTTGGATAACAGCAGCAGGGAACATATGGCCTTTCTCTGCTCCTGCAGCCCTGAGGATGGATGGCCTGGCTAGTGTTTTCTGGGTACAACTGAGGCAACCAGTAGCACTGGTGCTCCTAAACGGGGTAGGGTTGTTAGGAGGACCAATCCTACCCCCTTTCCCTGAGGAGGCCACCCATTCTGGCTGAGGAACCAGCTGGAAGAGGCCAAGATAGGTTGTTTTTGGAGTGCTCACCAGGCATGTGAGTGAATGGCTGAGGAACCAGCTGGAAGAGGCCAAGATAGGTTGAGAGTAAAATGTTTTTGGAGTGCTCACCAGGCATGTGAGTGACTCATTTTATTTCCTGATTCAACAATGGAGTAAAAGGCTCCAGATTAGTGGCTGCAGTTGTCATTTATTTCCCCAAACCACTGTGCCCGACTGTCTTCTCCAGGTCTCAGTCCTCTCCATGTCTGGGCCTTCAATTGTTGAGGGTCAGTCTCTGATGTGGGACAGGGATACAGCCACACCTCCCAGGCAGCTGGCAGCAAAACATGAGAGGAGAACAGCAGAGAGGCAGGGCCAACCGTGGGAGAACCGCACTTCCAGAGCCCCAAAAGGGTAAAAGTGGTCAGATGAACAGAGGTTCTCTCTCCTAAGAAGAGTGGGACTAGATTCTAAAATTGGAACCTGAACACCTGGGTTAGGTAGTTGTATACAACAGGGAACTATTCCATGGAAAAGGGAAAGAGGGGGGCCAGAAAGGGAGCCAGTAAGAGCTGGAGGAAGCACCTCCATACACAGACACACACCTCCTGACCAAAAGTGTCTCTGGAGCACCACAGCCACCCCAGAGGGCCTCTGCCCACTGCCCACAACCCCAGGCTTTCTCAGAGACGTGCAGTCATCCATGTTGGGCTGAGGGAAGCACCTGTGCCGACTGGGCTGGGTGATTTTCTCCAAAACCCTTGGGGAAGGACTAGCTCCTCCCTGAGTTTGGTGATGCGGCTTTGGAAACGGGCAAATCTGGGATCAAATCTGGATATGATCCTGGGCAAGTCATTTAACCTCTCTGGTCTGAGTTAACAACATTAACACTCCTAGATGCTGTGAGGATTAGTACAGTGCATGTAATGTGACTGGCCCTATCTTAATAAGTAACAAGTCATTGTCGTTGCTATCACTATTAATTATTTTCACTGACCGCTGCCTGCTTGAAAGGACAGGGCTGTAAGGCAGTACACCTCTCTGTCCTGAAGCATGATGCCACACCATCCCATAGCCTGAGTGACCTTGCACAGGCCAAAGCTTCCAGATACAAGAAAGGATACAGCATGTCTTGCAGGGGAGGCTGGGCTGAGGAGGCCCTGGAGGAAAGGCCCTCCAAGGAGGCCTGCAGGGTCTGGGCCATGTTATGATCAGTCAAGAGGCCCATGCTCTGAACCTAAGGGAAGAAAAAGGCAGGGAAAACAGCCCTTCTCAGAGCCTACACCACACAGGCCCTCTCTACCCTCCACCCCCTGTACTCCAGACCCCCACTGGCTGCTGTGACCAGAGCTCCCACCCTCCACCAAGAAGATGGTGTGGAGAGTCTAGCATCACAGCGGCTACATGCATCCCCTCCTACACACCTGCAGGAGGAAGCCACGCAGAGCCTTGAGTGCGGTGTTCGAGAGGGTCGAGAGGTCAGCCAAAGCTGCGCCTTGCAGAATGAGGCCCACCTCCTCCGGAGAGAAGACGCTGCTGCTCTGGAACCGCACAAACTGGCCCCGGGAGAGAAGCCCCGAACAGGCAGTGATTCCCATCTCCTTCATTCAGTCGTTTCTCCTGTATTCCTGCTGTGCTCAGCACTGGCCAAGTACACAGATCTGGAGCCCACAGCACCCTTCAAGGAGCTCAGAGTTGGTGAGCAAGGGTGGGGTGATGTCACGGGAGAGTGGGGTAAATGAGGCAGACTGTGACACCCTGAGAGTTGGCCCTGCTGACACTTCAGTACCGGACCAACCCCACCCCGCTGCCTTGCACCTCACACTCACGGCCCAAATGGACTGTGTGTGGTTACCCAAACACACCATGTGTTCATATCCTGCTGCTCTCACTTCACTACCTGGATTACATTTCCTCCTCCTCACTTATTAGTCCTTCAAGCCTCAGCTAAAATGTTACCTTCACGAATGAATGTTCTTTCATTGTATTAAAGACAGGCCCTGAGTGCCGACTACGTTTTTATTCCCAGCTCTGGCAGAGTACTTGCTCTCTTCTTTAGTCACTTACTCTCTTCCCAGACCTAGCACTGATATTCACTGACCTGCTTCACTGTCATTCACAGGCTCACTGCTTTGTTGTTTACATGGGCACTGACTGCGCATCAGGCACTTAGCATATCTTCTACTCTACCACCAATAACATCACACTTGAACTTGTCCATCTCCTTCTCTAGACTGAGAGATCCTTAAAGGCAGAGCATTTGGCTCATCGGCCCCTGTTATAGGACCTGGCATGTGGCGGGCAGGCTCTGATCAATTTTTTGAGTGAGTGAATTGAGAAAGACTGTCTGGCTCTTCTGGGGTGAGGAGATGTGGACATTGGTGGGAATTCTCTGAGCCGGCCTCTTGTGGGATGAAGGCCTGCCCAGCCCCCTCTACCTTCTTTGAGGATTAGGGTTACCTAAAGTAAGGTGTCCCTGGCCTCCTCGGGACCACTCAGCTCACGACATTCTTCAGACCACAAGACCATCCTTACTGCACTTACCAGAGTCATGAGCCTCAAGATCTCGGGTCTGAGGAAGGAATCCTCTCCAGCATCCAGGAGGGTGAACAGTAAAAACCGGTTCCAGGGCTGGGAGGCCACATGTTGTGCTATGGGAAACACCAGTCACCCTGGGTTGTTAATGCTGCTTTTCCAAAGGCCTTGGAACATTACTAAGGAGGACTCTCTCCTATTGGCTCAAAAAGGGCTACTCAGCTAGAGGCAGGGCGTTGCACAAGCTGACCCCAGGAAGTTTCTTTCCTCCCTGGGCTTCTATCCACCTATGCTGCCTGGCTCAGGGAGACTATATACCCCGCTATTGTGGGAGGCAAGCAACAGGAAGAGCTCTGCCACTTAAGAGCTTTGTGACCATGGTTGGGTAAGTGGCCTAACCTCCTGAACCTCAGTGTCCTCATCTGTAAACTGGGCATAACAGTGCCCATGCAGTTTTGTTGAAAGAATTACACAAAATGAGTGTGATTCACAGAACAGGGGATGGCAGTTTAGAGCAGGAAGTGGCAGAGGCTGGCCTCCTCCCATTGCCCTCAGGGGAACATCAGAGAATGGGGAGGGTTTCTACCCATGTCTGGGCTCCTGGCATGCAGGTAGTCAAGCAAGGCCTCCAGGCAGCCGACACAGGCATGGGACAATAGAGGATCCTTCTGCAAGACAAAAAACACAAATGTTTATGTCAGGTTTTGTTACCAATGGGTTTTGGTGCCAACCAAGAAAAACAATTTGATTTTCAGAACAATTGGATTTCATAACTTCAGATTTGGGATTGTAGCCCTGTAGGCAATGAAGAAATGTCTGTTTCATCGCTCACCCACACACAGAGCACAGTGCTTACACTAATGATTTACCTACATTCCAAACACTTTTGTTTCAGAAAGGAGATGGGCCCTGGGCCCCACTAAGAGATTCACAGATAGTTTATCTAAGCCAGTGAGTTTCAACCTTTTTTTAAAAAGCAGCTGAATCTTTCATAAAACAAAATTTTATGCTCTAATAAGCATGTGAAAAGATCTCATTATCATAGTCATTAGGGAAATGCAAATTAAAACCACCATGAGATACCACTACACACTCACCAATAGCTAAAATTAAAAAATTGATAATATTGCCCTAGCCAGTTTGGCTGAGTGGATAGAGCATTGGCCTTCAGGTGGAAGGGTCCTGGGTTCGATTTCAGTCAAAGGCACATGA